GATTGAGATCCTATTTCCAAAAACCAAGGGCTTGGAGTGTGGCTCAGTGGTGGAGCACCTGCCTAGAATCCCCCCAGTGAGGGGCTGGGGTGTGGCTCAGTGGCAGAGCATCTGCCTAGAATCCCCTGTGAGGAGCTCTGCGGTAGAGAGCTTGCCCTGGGCAAAATTCCCAATACCAAAATAAAAAGAAAGAGGAAGGAAAGAAAGGGAATGAAGGATGGTGAGAAGAGAAGGGGGACAGCATATGAAGGAGGTGTGCTGGGTGGAGGGTGGGCCAGGGAGCACTCAGCTCACAGGGCTGGGGTTCAGGGATTAGGAACACAGCAGTACCAACCAGTCTCCAGCTTGCCGTGACCATAGCAGGCAAGTTCTTGATCTCAATGTCCCCATCTCTAAAGTAGGGTGGGAGGTGTGGAGAGGGTCTCCTAAGGCCCCCAAGGGGCTCCTCCCACTGTTCCTTCCTCTGATCTCCCAGGCTTCCAGACCCAAGGTCAGCATCCCCCTGTCGGCCATCATTGAGGTCCGAACAACCATGCCCCTGGAAATGCCTGAGAAGGACAACACCTTTGTGCTCAAGGTAAGAGCCCACTGCAGCCCCCAAGTCTGGGACCACAGCCCTAGTGGGTTACACAGCATGAGCTCATTACAGGGGTGCAAGTTAGACCATCAAAGGGGATAATAAGGAGGGGATTCCCATGATAGACCCACAACAGGTCCATCACCTAGGTAGGGCTTGGATCTGGTTTGCATTCTAGAGTCATACATCCCGACATGGTTGGCCACCTGGATCTCCTTCCATTTCTTATTTTTTAATTACATTTATTATTATTATTATTGGTTTTTCGAGACAGGGTTTCTCTATGTGTAGCCCTGGATGTCCTGGAAGACCAGGCTGGCCTTGAACTCCTGGAGATCTGCCTGCCCCTGCCTCCTGAGTGCTGGGGTTAAAGGAGTGCACCACCACCTACCTACGTTTATTTGCCTGGTGTTTGCCTGCATGTGCATGCCACAGTGTGGCTATGAAGGTCAGAGGATAACTTTCAGGAGTCAATGAGAGAACTCTTCCCCATCACCTGTGGGTTCCTCCCCTGGAAATCAAACCCAGCTTTTCAAGCCCAGCAGCAGGCATCTCTATCCACTGAATCATCTCACCAGCCCACCCCTGTTCCCCATTTCTTCCTGGGTCTGAGTAAAGGTCATTAGAGCTCCTTCCCCTCGGCCCCCTCTGGAGCCAGACACACCCACCTCACAGCTACTGGTGACCAGCTTGTTGAATATATAAATGTCCATAGGCACAGGAAGTGGAGTGTGGGAACCAGCCCTGGTCCCTATAGAAGGCACAAAGACATGGAGGGTGGGTGGGAGGCA